CTTCCTGAAGTTTGTCTTTATGTTGTTCCACAGATGGAACATACATGCACAATGAGGGACTTCTGGATAGACAATTGAAGTTGCTTTCCATATAGCATCATGCCTGTCTGATACAATGCACATTCCCTCTCTTTGTCCATAGGTTTCTCTGAACTGCACGAAGAACCATTCCCACGATGCATCATTTTCCGAATCAACAATTGCATATGCAAAGGGGTAGAATTTGTCCGGTAAACCCAAAGAACAAAATATCAATTACAACACACTATACTAATTTAGCATTTCATATAGTAGTATAGTCATAGGTAGGTGCAGGTGTATAGCAAAATAACTATATACTCTGTTGGTATACTTGTATACCATACTGGTATCATATAATATTTGCAAATATTTTTTGTTTCTTTAACTGAATGTAATTGGATTGTACACAAAATATTAATTTAGTATTTTATATAGTAGTATAGTCATAGGTACGTGCAGGTGTGTAGCAAAACAACTATATACTTTGTTGGTATACTTGTATACCATACTAGTATCATATAATATTTGAAAATGTTATTTGTTTCTTTAACTGAATGTAATTGGATTGTACACAAAATATTAATTTAGCATTTCATATAGTAGTATAGTCATAGGTACGCGCAGGTGTGTAACAAAACAACTATATACTCTGTTGGTATACTTGTATACCGTACTGGTATCATATAATATTTGAAAATGTTTTTTGTTTCTTTAACTGAATGTAATTGGATTGTACACAAAATATTAATTTAGCATTTCATATAGTAGTATAGTCATAGGTACGCGCAGGTGTGTAACAAAACAACTATATACTCTGTTGGTATACTTGTATACCGTACTGGTATCATATAATATTTGAAAATGTTTTTTGTTTCTTTAACTGAATGTAATTGGATTGTACACAGAATATTAATTTAGCATTTCATATAGTAGTATAGTTATAGGTACGCGCAGGTGTGTAGCAAAATAACTATATACTCTGTTGATATACTTGTATACCATACTGGTATCATATAATATTTGAAAATGTTTTTTGTTTCTTTAACTGAATGTAATTGGATTGTATTCTTACCCTCTGCGTCTTGCATGGAAGCNTTGATTTTTTCAATTCCATGTAAACACTAACACTCATATCGCTGCAAATTGTAATTGGTGGATATCCTTGAGCAATAACATACTGAATAACTATTGTTTTACTGTCCTTTTGCAGTTGCATTGCAATTTCTCCGAGAAGTTGTTCAAATTTCCAAGAGGTCTTTATTAGAATTACATCAACATGAAAATTTATGAAATTATTGTTATCATCCCATTCTCCACTATGCTGCAGCAGAATTGGAATATTTTCCATGATTCTGAAGTTATAATCACTTTTATGTCTTGAATCTCAACAATGCAAATTTCAACAATGTTCGAAATCAACAGTGTTCANCATGATTTATGAACCCGATATTGACATTTTTCTCTAACAACATACTGTTTCATAACGAGAGCCAACAGGTTCTTGTCTTCATAAATTTGTCCTTTTTCAACATTTTGATGAAATTGATCAGTTATGATGTTTGCATCATCAAGTTCTAAAATAGCGTCATCTCCTTCTTGCACATCAAACGTAGTAATCATATCAGTGCTTTCAAATTGTGCAATTTCTGATGAAATTGGAGCAACATCGAAACTGGAGGTGCTTGCAGCTATAGTGTTTTTAGCAAACGACACACACAGGGGAATTGTTGTCATCCCTGCACTTGATTTTTTCAATTCCATGTAAACACTAACACTCATATCGCTGCAAATTGTAATTGGTGGATATCCTTGAGCAATAACATACTGAATAACTATTGTTTTACTGTCCTTTTGCAGTTGCATTGCAATTTCTCCGAGAAGTTGTTCAAATTTCCAAGAGGTCTTTATTAGAATTACATCAACATGAAAATTTATGAAATTATTGTTATCATCCCATTCTCCACTATGCTGCAGCAGAATTGGAATATTTTCCATGATTCTGAAGTTATAATCACTTTTATGTCTTGAATCTCAACAATGCAAATTTCAACAATGTTCGAAATCAACAGTGTTCAAAATCAAAAGTGTTCGAAATTTCAACAGTATATAGCTGCAACAGATTTTTCGAAATCAAACCTCTAGATCTACAGATCTCCAAACCTAGATTAGAATTTTCAGCTAAAATTCAGAAGTTTAGCTCCGAAATCAAAATCAAAACAACAGCGAAATCAAAATCTGAAAAGAAGATGCGAATCAACATCTTTGATCTATTTGTTCACACTTAGTGATCTTCAAATTAGGGAATATCAGTGGAAATCTCAATTTTGTGCGCTGATTTTCTGAAATTTTGAGCAGCTTTTGCATTTTTATAGATAGGGCATTAAGCGTGGGGTAATTATTTTGATATTCCTGTTTATTTATTAAATGGGTAGGAGATTGTAATTATTTAGTGGGTAGAATTCTTTAATGGGTAGGGCAGGGTAAATAGTTTCACTTTTATAGGTACTCCTGTCTTTTTCCCTTGTACAAATAACCCGTAATATACTAACCGGTTATGCCATCAACTATTTATTACAAGTATTTTTTACTTTATCCTTTTTGTCTCATTTTTCTTCTTTTAATTCAGGGACAAGTGAGTCAGTTCAATTATTGACAAGTATTAATCCTTCGTTTGTCAAGTAGCGATCCATCGAATATAACAAAGATAGATCCTTCCGAGCACAAATATACAAAAGTTTTACAACAATAAAGCCATAATAATAGGCATACACGCCATGATTCAAAGAATTCTAGCCATTTGGCTAAGTAACAAAGGATAAGTTTACTCTGTACCAGAATTCTCCAGACCAGGTGGATAGACTTCTCGATTATACTTGAAAAAAATATTTTTCGGTAAATTGTTGTAGAAATTCAGATTTAATAATGAGGTAATATATATGTTATGGTCCTATTGTTCAATAATACACTTTTAAGTTACAAAATGGCCAATGAAAAAGAAGCTTAGTTTTCTTTTCACCATAATCTAAATAGTAGTACTTATTAAGAAATTTCATTCCATTATATTGTACTCAAAGGTATTGGCTCTTAAGTAATGATAGTACGTGCTTTTTATGGACCTTTTGACAAATTTGTGTGAAATTAAACTTATTTTGGAATGACTAAGGTAATAATCAATTAAACGACTTGTTCTAATGCACACGTCAAAGCTATGTTACATGATTGCATATATAGTACAGTAGTAGTGGGTAGAAATAGTTGTAGGTAGGGAAGTTATTTACTTACCACATTCTCAAGCTTACTCCACACCTTTTCGCTAGTGGGAATCAACATTTACTTCTTTTAGTTCTTGTGGGCTCTCAAGGAGGGGCAGAGTTAAAAGGGGCGGAAGAGATTCATCCGAACTTTTTTTGTCAAAAATTTTTACTCTATATATAAAACAAAAGATTTCTTTTGATGTATAAATAGTAAATAATGAATTTCCTAGGTGAAATTCTTACCTCCGCAACTACTCGCAACTAATGTCTATTTTACCTATTTAACTCTTCCTCCAAAAACTCCCCCAAACTACGAACGTATGTGAATATTTGATTTGAGATAGAAAGAGTAACGAATTCATATTACATCGTATTTCTATTTGAAATCTAAGGTTATAAATTTATTTGAGGTGATTTCAAGCCTTTGACACTAAATGAATGAACTTCTAATGAATCCATTCGTATTATGTCTTCAGGGGCTACATGGTTAAATTGTCACATTTACCTTACTATGTCATGAAATCATAAGGTAAGTGTTCCAAAAGTCACGCCAAACATATAATGCCAAGTTCACAAATGACACATGAAGCTTGTCCAAAGTTCTAAAGGGTAAGGAAAACAAATGAGAAAAATTATGAAATATTGGTATTAAAATTAGACTAATTATGGGAGCATATGAACATGGATTCAGTATATAGTATCTATTAAGGATCCTTTGTTTCAATCCATAAACTATAGTTTTCTAGATACTAAGAACTTGTCGGTGTCATGCAAGCTTGTAACAGGATCCTAAGATCATGCCATATCTAACTCGTGAAAACATGGACAAACATAGCAAACTTAAATGAACATTAATTAAGAATTTAACATTTAACAATTTGTCGTCGTTTACTTTGGTTCTGCAAATTTGTTATGATTAATGACAAGTGTGTGTTGGGGACCTCTTCAACGTTCATTGCAGCCACCAAACTCCATGTTCATGATTTCATCACAACTATTTTTATGAAGCCAATGAAATTGGATTGCCTTTCCCAAAACAATGATGATTAAAATAAAACCTTTTGTACGACGGATACAACAATAACATACACAGTGTAATCCTCTAAGTGGGATCGAGTGAAAATGTATCAACCATAACGCATATAGTGTGATCTAGCAAGTGAAATCGGGCAAGGGTAAGGTATATGCAAACGTTACCCTTATCTTTATGGGCTAAAGATGTTGTTTCCGATAGATTTTCAGGGCTCAATATGGCTGATGTTTGTACTAAAAATTACCCAAAATATGTCCCCAAATGAGCATTCTTTAAAAAATGAATAATAAGTAAAGAAAGAAAAATTAGAACCCTTTGAAAAATTAGGGGAAAAAATTCGGCCAACATCACAACCATGAACCTCTCTACCTGTCACTATAGTTTCCCCTTTTAAACGACATGTCATCAATAAATTAGAAATATATTCATTTATCAAAAAGTTGGATGTATCGGGTCTGAATATATATTCCAGTTGAAGAAAAAATTCAGAAGTAAAGCCATTAAAGTGAAAAGATAATTACAACATGGTTTAATTTTCTAGAACCATGCATTTTAAAGACTCAAAGAAGGAAAGATAAAAAATAAAAATAAAAACTACAAAAGGGAGAAAAGAAAACACGAAAAGCTGAATCAATGTTATACCACTTTGAATATACTCGTACCTAGTAGTATTTGCTTTATCACTCTCTTGATTCTTGAACTTTTGCTTTTCATTATTAAAGTTAAAACATTCTACAACTATTGACTACACAAAAAGGAAAAAAAAAAAAGAAAAAAGAAAAAAAAGAAAAAAGAAATACTCGAGTTACTAATTAAAAACAAAATTAAATAACTCCCACTAAAACTTGGCATTGCTAATTCCCATTTATATCAAAAGATCTAAAATTATATTACTAAAAATAAAATCCGACACTAAAAAAAACAGAAAAAGGAGTAGAGCTGAGTGAGAGCACTGACAGTAGAGCAATTCTTCATCTTCTTCTAGTTCAAACATCAACATGACAATTTTGCACCAATTGATACTTAATAGCTGATGAACCAACAGCAAAACTATTCCCAATCATTTTTCCACCTACACCAACATAAGCTGGACAATTTACATACAAATGGTACCTTCCCGAAATAAAACTCCCAACTTTCCATCTAACTCGTCCATCAATTTTAATATTCAACAAAACAGTCCCAACCATTTGATCTTGACTAAGTGCATTTCCTAAGTAGGGTGCAACAGGGACAGAATTACCGTACACAAAAGGTGACCATATTGACACATCTTTGTGACCTTGGTACGTTGGTGGCAATAACGTTGGAAGTGTAATTTGTTGGCCGCGGTACGTGGCGTAGACGTCGAGTTTGTCGTAGTAAATTCCGATTTTGTCGTTCGGATTGCGAGAGGCAACGGTGATTTGGATGTTGGTGGTGAGGAAGCTAGGGGTAGAGACGTTGAAGGCGTAGACGGTGGCGTCTTGGAGGATGAAGTGTGGTTTTGTTGGTCGGAGGATGAGCCAAATGAGGAGGATGATGAAGAGGATTAAGATTATGAAGCCTATTACGGCCGCGAAGAGGCGGCGGGGCAGCTTGTGCCCCTCCTCGTCGTCGTGGTGGCCGCAGTCCTTTGCCGTCATGGTTGTGGTGGTGGTGGTTGTAGCTAGCGGTGGTGGTTTTAGGTGGTGAGGCTTTGAGAGAGTTGGAGTTGAGGCAGTGTTGGTTAGTTTCAAGATTATGAGAGAGAGTTCTTTAAAGAAAAGAGTGGTTTTCTAATATAGTACATAGAAGAATTGGTTAGTTTATTTTTTGTTCTTTTTATTTTACTTTTTTTTTTTGGTTGGGGTTGTAGGTGTTAAGTGGGACTAGAGAGTAGGGTATATGAAAATTTTTCATTTTCAAACATGATTTTGACACTAAATGTTATGAGTGTTCATCCCGCAAGCACTCTAATAGTACACTTAATTTTATTTGGTTACTACATCAATTAACACTAAAGTTGCAGTGTTACGCTTTATAATATCGACTTATTCCTTACATTGACTTTTCTCAACTAAAAATTCATATACTTTCTACATATACACTTAATAAATGCATATAACCGTTAGTAATACTTACGTGGTCAATGCTTCGAAAGAAAAGACTCGAATTGTGATTAGAGGTATTCGTCGACAGTACTGTATGATATTTAAATATTTTGGTTCGATATTCGGTGTGTTAAAATGCTATACCATTACCATAACTAATTAGATTCGGTATGATTCGACTTTTTTCTTTTCGATTTCGGTTGATTCGGTTTGGTAACTTCGGTTTGTTCAGCTCGAATATTAACGAATGCATAAAGTAATAGACTGTAATATTCTTAAGAAAAGTATTCACAAATACGAAAATAAAAATATTATAGTATAGTGGAAAAAAAGATGAAAGCCAAAAATGATAAACCAAGACGGGAGAAAGCTCGAAACATAAGTAGGTAACCAAAGAAAAGGGGGAAGACAAGTATAGTGGGAAAAATATATGGTAAAGGGTTAAGGAGAACTATAGAAATAATGAAAAGTAAAATTTAGAATTTTAATATTTATATTATAATTAATAATATGTGTGTTGTGTAACTTAGTGTATATATTTCGGTACGGTAGCGGTATTTTTATATTTTATTTTTGAATACCGAAAATCATATCTAATACCATTTTTTTTAAAAAAAAATTTGAACCAAATACCAAATCAAATATCAAAATATCGAATACTAAATATAAAAATTTTCGATTTCAATATGATAATTCGGTATTTATCAAATTATGCATCGCTCTAATTGTGACGAGGGACGAACAAAATTTATGACTTTTTTTTTCTGGTACGAAACTAATGGTTAGACAAATACAACGCCTAATTGTTGAATTTTTATTTTTCATGCACGTTGGATTCTCCTTTTCCAATCATTGTTTTGGATCATGTTTTCGAATTGTTTAAGTAAACTAAGGCTGTATTGTGGGCCGGACCTAGCCCGGGACCGGCCCGGGACCGCTAGCAAACGGGCCAAATAGGGCGGTTCAAACAGGCCGGTCCCTAACGGTCCTAAAAGCCCACTGTGGGCCGGTCCTCCCAAAATAGACCGCGAGCCTGAGACCGTTTAGCCCGGGACCGGCAGGCGGGCCTGGGCCGGTTCAACCGGCCCAAACGGGTACAACGACTATTTTTAAAATATTTTTTTTTAAAAAAAGCCAACGATTAGAAGTTTAAAAACTAGCCGTTGGCCTGCCATTTTAGCCGTTTGGCTTTTTAAAAATAGCCATTTGGCCCCCAAACTTTGTTTTAACCCCAAACTTTTTATAATCACACTTTTTCCCTATTCTCAACTATAAATACCCCCTCATTCTTTCATTTTTACTCACAAAATCATTAATCTCTCTCATTTCTCAAACTCAAATTGAAGTATTCAACTCTTCAAGTCTTCACTCATCTCTCATTTCTCAAACTCAAATTCTTAATTCAAGTTAAATCATGTCCGGTGATTCTAGATTGCACCCATTTGATTTGGAACACTTTAATGTGGTAGAAGAAAATGAAGAAGTTTACATAATAAAGTGCAAAAACTGTGGTCCAGTCTACACTCGTCGTCCAAAGGAGGGCATAGACAGTTTAAGGAGTCACATAAAGAGTTGTCTTGCGCGTTCTCCAGATATTCGTATTTAAGATTTTAAGTTGATTTGAGACAATTTATGTCATTTTAAAATTATTAGACATATTATGCTTAATATTTTAGTTTATTAGATTAATTTCAAGTATTATGTTGAAGGCATTGAACTTTAATTTGAAGTATTAAATGTAAACTTTAATTTGCAGCTTTGATACCGAGTTCATCTTAATATATATATATATATATACACACACGTCTTAATATAGCTAATATATACAATCTTATATAAGGAAATATACTATATAAAACAATATACTAACTACTAAGTGTATAGTATATAAGCTATATTCGAATTTCGATATAACATTAGCTATAATATATATATAAGCTATATAATTTAACATAAAATGTCTCAAATCAACTTAAAAGCATAAATTGTGTGTTGTCTTGTCGGTTTGAAAAGTTGACCGGCTGCGAAAAAACTGTTTCGTTTCAGAAAACGTGAATATGTATAGGTGGTGGTGGACTACTTTTTGTATATTGTCTTGTCGATCTGAAAAGCTGACCGGCTGCGAAAAAGCTGTTTCATTTCAGAAAAAGTGAATTTGCATAGGTGGTGGTGGACTACTTTTTGTGTGTTGTCTTGTCGGTCTGAAAAGCTGACCGACTGCAAAAAAATTGTTTTTTTTTTCAGAAAAAGTGAATTTGCATAGGTGGTGGTGGACTACTTTTTGTGTGTTGTCTTGTCGGTCTGAAAAGCTGACCGACTGCAAAAAAATTGTTTTTTTTTTCAGAAAAAGTGAATATGTATAGCGCGGTACAATACTACGTTTTGTGTGTTGGCTTGTCTACAAATAACGGGCACATTCTAGTTATTTCTACGCTTAACAATAACCAATAACAAATATTTCCATAAAAGCAAGGGTTTTCTTTACGCTTTAACAAATGTCTGAACCCCTTTATGTGCCAAGATGCGAGTGCGGCAAAAAATGCATGATGCAAGGCTATTGGGATGATGGTGAAGCTGGATGCCGCTACTGGGCGTGTATGAACAAGTTTTATAGGGTTCCCGACGAACCTGTTTGCAATTTTGAGGTATAGATTGATGAACCCTGTTAGCAGGAATACTACAAAGAAAAGTTACAGTATCTTCATTGTTTGTGTTTGAAGCAGTGGGAAAGAGAGCGACAATCCAAACGAGAAGTTGCGGAGTTTAAGGAGAAACACAAAGAGGTGGAAGAAGAAAAAAATAAGCTGGAAGACAAATTTAAGTGGTTGGAGCAGAGAATATTAGGCGGTCGTGACTAAACAATGACATGTATGTGTTGAGCCAATTAGTGTATCTTTATGTTTTCCGTGTCATGCGTTTTCATTAGTTGTACTGAATTTAAATTATGTTAAGTTTCTATGTTTTTGTTTGTGTTGTACTGTTAAAATAAAGAAGAAACGGGACTTGACTATTTTTTTTATATATATAGTGTGTATATATATATAATTTACAAGAAATTGCCTTGCATATACTATATAAATTGCTTATATACATATATATATAAATAATTTACAAGAAATTGCTTTAGATAAAAAAATAAAAAAAATAGCCCAGAACATTTAGGCCCGTTTAGCCCCGTAGTTCCGGAACCATGTGGGTTTAGGCCCGTAGTGGGCCGGTTCCACCCTCCAGGACCGCTAAACCCGAGATCGCCAAAGACCGGCCCGCAAGAGTCCGAGATCGTTTGGCCCGGCCCGTTTAACCCATTTAAGCCCGGGCCCGGCCCACACTAAAGCCTTAAAGTAAACTGCAATTCTCTAATGTCAATGTTAATACCATTTTTGGAGAAGAATTGACGAGTGTAAGTGTGCCAAAGACCACACTATAATATCCAAAGATGCACCAACTATAGATATGATAGTTATGATTGATAAGAGGAAATTAAAGTGAATGGTGGAAAATGAAGTCTGGTGATGGTAATGGTTTTGGTTTGGTACAACCTTATCTTTTGGGGACAGATGCTTCTACGCAAAGGTTAAAGAGTAAAAGAAAGAAATAAAGATTCAAGAATTATACCAAAAAGGTCCCACTTCTATAGTAGTAAATGAAATAATGGGATAACATGATTCTCAAGTCACCATCCAACTCTGGCTATTGTACCGAGCATTGGTAAGAACTTGGAGTTTCGTTACTTGTATATTTTAGTTTTGATCATGTGTACGGGTAAAATCGGAATAACGTTATTCCCGACTTTCCGATAAAGAAACAAGAGGAAAGCATAATCTGATGCAACCTCGAGTAATGCCGAAGGGTTCCTATTTTTGAAATCGGAGAGGACGAACTGCGCACCCCGAGACCGGGTACAACTAAACATCGGATTCAGATAGAATGAAGTTCCAGGACCAAGGAAAGAGGGAAACAGTTTAGCACGATGAGCAACGGCGCAAATCCAGTCCAATAACAACGGCAGATCGATATTTACCGAAAAAAAGATTTTTACCTTATTTAGATTTGTACTACGATTGAAATTCCCCTACTATATAAAGAGCAGAACTTTTATATTTTAAACCATTGTTGGCACACATATCAAAGCAGTAAAGTTTATTTTTATCTTCTAGCGGTTGTTCAAAAGTGTTTTTCAGTTCCCATTTCCTCTAGTTACAACTGAGCCCATATCAAGGCTCGATCGGAGGCAAGCTCAGTGTTCAATTCAAAGTCAGGCTTAATTGTTCCATTGTGTTTGGTTTGATCGTTTTATCTATTTTGATTTAATTATTTATTGTTTTCGTCTTAAATTAAATCACTTATCCTTTAAACTGCGAACAAATTTAGTTGTTACTCACTTTTAAGGGCAAACAGATTCCATTTTTCATAAATAAAGACATCTAACATTCTAAATTATGTTAAATGTTGGTTCTTTTGTTTTTAATCTCAAATATATGTTGATATCTCAATTGTGTATGATTTATTGAATGAATCTTTTTTTTTTTAATAAAATAGATTCACGGAAAGTTTGGTCAAATTTAGTCAGTAGTTGTTCTTATTGTTTCACTTCATATAAGCAGAAATTGCAAGATTCGTTACAAACTATTTAAATAAAAATAAAATGAGACGCTTTGAAGATAATCTGTAATAGAGTTAGTTCATTTTTAACTCATGTTAGAATGTAAATAATTTCAATAATCGGTGGTTCGCAAGAGGATTAC